GGACAAAGGAAACACAACTCAAAGTCTAAGTACTGAGAGAGAAAGACCTAGAGGGGCTTGTACTTCTGGAGATGCAGCACCCCCTACCCCCCACCCCCTAGCCCCAGTCTCATATTTATTGGGTAACAGATTCAGGGGAGATGGGCAAGTCTATGGAGGAATGTGTGGAGGATATGTGTGGTGGGATGTGGACCGGGGATGCATAACTTCTGGCACAAGCTAGCAGGGAGTGAATAGGGTCGGTTGGGTTGCCTGGGGGGATCCATTGTTGAGGCTCATCAAAACACCCTACTGTAAAACTTAACTTCTTGTCAAGGTGGTCTAGCCGGTTATGCTAATCTGACCATAATGTCTGCCTGCTGTTTTCTGCAGATATCCTCATACCAAGACTTTTGTCCTGGTGAGAGGCTCCAAGCTGTACTCTACATGTTAGCTTAACCAGCAGCAACTTTGGGCACCAAGAAAAATCTGGAGAACAGGGTAGGGGTGTGGGGCTGGGGAATCCACAATAAGTTGTTGTGCTCTTAAAGGTGATCCTTAATAATTGAGTTTTTGATAACTGATGGGAAAAAACCAGTAGCAAAGAGAAAATGGTTAAAACTTTAATAGGAAAAACAATTTCAATTTCCATGTCTTAATAGCTATGTTCTTTTGAAAAACAGGAAGTTCTAGTCACTTTAGATTGGGGGGGTGATTTTAGTTAATACAAACAAATGCTTATACTAAATGAAGGTTAGATGCATGTAAATAGTGAGTATTTTGAAAAAGAGGCATTTTCTTACATTCAAGAGCTCTGCATTTTAGCACTGCATTAAACATCTGTTGTTTAGTGGAAAAACTGCTTTCAAAAATAAAGAAGAATGTCTTGAAACCAGCACACCAAAGCCTCAGTTTCAGCTGTACTCACTTCTTCTTATGCTGAAATCACACTACATCTAGTAAATTGTTATTTTAATATATGGAAGTAGAGTTTCCCAAGTACGCTGATACTGCTAATAACAATGCTATTCATCCAATTTATTTGCTTATTAAAAATAAACATAAAACTTGAGCTTTTCGTGACCAAATCCACAAACTCCTAATTAGTTTTATCTAAATGAATGAGGTTTTACTGTATTAATTTCTAAAAGCACAGCACTAAATTCTAGGAAAAGCTGTTGCAACTAAAATGGAAAAAAAAGCAATAAAATAATTTGGCAAAAGATTGAATTAAAGATCTAATTCTATCCTAAGCCTCCCAATTAAAATGTTTTCAAACCATAATAGCAGCTACACAAAGATAATCCAATTATGAACATGATGAAATTTATTGTTAGATTTTGTTTTCTGAACAAAATTGAATTCAGACCTGTAATGGGTCTTGGATGATTCCAAATTTACATTGAAAAGTGACCTTGGAATAGAGTCAGCTCTTGGCTCTTCTTTGTAAGTGGGTGTTTCCTAAAATGTTTCTCTTAAACTTTACCTCAAAGGATAAAGAATGTTCTGGAATGGTAACCAAGGCCATATAATGATAGGTTTGAAATAAAGTGGGCCCCATGTAGCATCATGGTCTATTTCACAAATCTCATAATGTTTTCAGATGATCTAACCTCAAGCTAATATGGATGTTTAGGTAAAGGGATGCAAACATTTTCTATTCAGAGTTAAGGAAGTTACAGACATGAAATTTTGATAATTGCTGGTAATTTACTATTGTGGGGTTGAAAATCTGTAATCCTTCAATAATTCCAAGTGTAGACCAACTATATCAGTGTGATGTGAGGGTAGCTTAGATCTAAGCCAAGTTATTGAAAACTTAATAGGAACTTGAGAATGTTTCTGAGTAAAAGTCCTAAGGTTTGTGAGCAAAACTATCCAGGTTCTTTCTGAACAACCAACTTTAGGTACATAAGCAGAGATAATCTTACTAGAACATTCCAAAATAAACATTTTTCCCAAATTTCTTTCTGAAAATCAGCTTTGCTCAATTGTACAACACTGTGTCTTAGATGCCTTTTCAACAAATAGAGTCTATTTATAAATGCTCAAAATAAGATGGTTTCGATTTTTCTTCCTCTTTGCTATCTCCCACCCAGTTGTTTTTCTCTCTAAACGTGGGTTTAGGCGCCATCCGCAGTTCTCTTCTGGTGACTATTACCAGCTGCTGTCTCTACAGAAGGAGCAGCCAAAGCCCTGACGTTGAACAAAACATCCCATAAAATTGCTCCAAAAATCAATCTTGGCACATAACAGAAACGTTTCTCAATGAGCATATGAATTTCGACACTGCTGCTGACAATCATGGCCGCCTTCACTCCAATTAGCACAAGGTATAGCCAGGAGATGAGAGGACAGCACATTTTTGGAGAGAGTAAGAAGAATTAACTAGTTACCATGCCTCATCTGACTAAAAAATAATAATAAATAGAGGAATTTAGAAGAATCTGCAGAGTTTGAAAGCTTTCCAAATTTTGCCTCAATGGCTTAGGAACCACAGTGTGATTTCAAAGGCCATATGCTAAAATCAGAGAAAATCTGGAGTGATCTCACAAAAGAATTAAATCATGAAGGCAGGAAAGGAGCAAGGGCAGGGGAAGGCCAGAGGGATAGGAGGAGGAATCGTGAACAAAAGCTGTGAAGAAGTGGAAAAAAATCATTTCTTGAGTATAAACTTGGGGCGAAACCATGAAATTCATACATTACATATTGTCCAAAAACAAAAACACCTTTCCTCAACACACTTTCCTTTTTCAGCAATAGAAATGAAAAGAAGCAAATAAATGACAAAATTACTGTAATCTACTAAATGCAGGTATCTTAGAATACATTACCTGTCTGCTTTCTTGGGACTATGTGTGCTCTATGTCAACCGTAGAGCTTAGCTCTAACATTCATTTTTATCTCTAAGCACCACGAATTCTTTCTGGAATTAGTTAGGGGATGAAAAGGCCAAGATTCTGTGCTAGAACTTGCAAATCAAAGACTCACATCGTGATTTTGCCAACCTTCAGCTTACCCCCTCCTCCGTCCTGCCAGTCACCTAAGAGAAACTTACTGTGTTTCCCCCCAGGTGCCTGAAGCAGCTGATCCTACTGCAAAAAACTTGAGTTAAAATATGAACAAAAAGGACAAAATCCCCTTTAAAGACACAGATTCCTACCCCAGAGGCTTATACAGCCTCCGGCTTTCCGTAATAGTACATAATTACACAAATAAATACACTACTGAAAACTATAATGAATGGCATGGAGGGAGATCACAGATGCTCCAGGGTCCTGTAATAGAAGGATTTAAGTAAGAGTTTTAACATGACCTGAGAAAAACAACACAAAACATGCCTCTTGATTTTTTAGGAATTGAGAGAGTATTTTGTCTACTGACCACAGCCAGTAAAATACTTACACAAAATCTCATATTCCCTTAACAAATGAAACTTCTTGGGCTTTTGTTTGCTTTTAAAATTCTTGCTGGTATTGTAAAAAAAATACTTCAAAAATGAATAGCAAAGAATGTTTATTTATAATGGTCTAGTATGCTAATTTAAAATAAAATAGAGGGTTTTAGAATGGAAATGAAAAATACAAAAGTGGAGCTTACTTAAACAGAATAACAACCCTGGAGCAGAAATAAGAAGGCTCTGGCCTCCATCCAACATGCCCATGCTGTGTTGCCTTGGCCAAGTTACATAACCTCTCTGAACCTCGGTTTCCTTACCTTTAAGGTCGCTGCCCATTCCCACCTCCTGGATTCTTTAAGGGGCACAGGAATTAATGTACACAAAGTGTTCTGTGACCACCAGTATGCAAAGATGGCATCCAAAGGATGAGAACTAAGAATTAAAAAAGAAAAATGCAAATCTGAATCATACTTCTGGAGGGAATTAGGGTTGACTGTCCAGAAAGACCTCATTAGGTATTTGAAAGATGTGGTTGTGTATTTATCTTTAAATTGCTTACCAATCAACTCAGGCAAAAGTTCACACTAATATTATCAGAGCAAATTATTTAGCATGTCATACTCAGTACCCTGAAAAAAATGCCAGCAAATATTTTCTGCAATAAATAATCACATGTGCACTGGGGATCCAACTTTTACTGAGAGAGGAAAATGACATTGTCTTGAAATATATGCTGGCTGGGTTCTTTCTCCCTCCCTTGCCTCCCACTTTAGAGGCATATTCAAGGACAAATAGAGAGAAACTGAAATTGAGAAAAGCTTGACGGGAGAAAATGCCCTTTTAATCAGAGTTAGGCAGTAATTCTTACTTGAGGAGTTCAGCTCCTCAGCAGGCACCCATATTTTCACTTCAGATGCCTTTTCATTTCTTACTGATTCTATGAAGGGCATCGGTCACGAAGAAACCCCATGACCACCAGCCCTGCTTGATGAATGGACTGTTCTGAGAATTCATGGCCTGCAGGAGACATTTTTAACCAGTCCTGTCAGAAGGATGACTCGTGTTTTCCTTCCTGAATTCCAGTGCAGTCTCTCCAAAAATCTGCCTGAGGTTGTATAAGTTGTAATCTTTTGCAATTTGTTCTGTAAGATTCTTCTCTGAATTAAGTCCACCACATTAAAGAATATTTCAGTAATTGGCATATTAAGATCTCAGTTAAGGGGCAGTGAGTATGTATTGAGCATTAGAAAATAAAACAAGATTTTTCTTAAACATCTTCAAGAAATGGGTTATTTATGGCCAAGTTTGAACATATCTTCAGACCCTGTTTATTCCACCTTATCTATTTGGTTGTCTGGATTTTTTTTTAAGATTTATTTATTTATGCATACAAAAGCTGGGGTACAGTCCAGAGGTATAGGGGGTGAGAGAATTCACCAGAGACAGAGTGGGGAACAGAACAGGCAGATTGACCGAAGTACACTGCTGAGGGGAGCAGCGGGCAAGTCAGGAGAGGTCTGCCTCACCATGTGGGTTGCTCGCTGGCTGGCTGGGGATCAAACTTGTGCTGCAGAAGCTGCAAATTGCTTCATAGTGTTATGCTTAACCCCTTGCGCCACCAGGGAGGCCCTGATTGGTTGTCTGGATTTTTATGACTTTAAAAAGGAAGGGCATAGAAAGTATGAAACACTTCAGCTTTATTAATGCAAACATATTTTTTATTAAAGAATGGATGCATTGATGCTAAAGAATAGTTTACATGTGTTGTAAAGCAGCAAGCACATCTCCAAGAGCCGTGTTCTCCTCGTTATGACTCCATGCTTATTCTACATGCCTTAGAACTGGACCCACACACAGGGGCACACATACACACACAAATGCATACACGGACACACAGTTACACAGACCAAAACACAACACCAGTGCTCTCTGGATTCAATTAGCTCTTGTTTAAGGCTTCTGTAAAGCGTGCCCATGTCCCTATCATCACCAGGATGCAAAACAGACTTTACTAAAGGATCAGCATTCCCTGGAAAACTACTCATCTGCTCTCAGCCTTAAATGTATGTGTTTTAACAAATACTTTCAATGTCATTCCATGGTGACTTTGCATTTAGGAGGTTTAAAAATCTGTGAAACTTAGAAATCTCAGGCTTTTTAGAGTGTGGACTTCTCAGTGAACAAACTGGCATCTCCAACTCTAAATTATCACCAATTTTAAAGTCACAAGTCAGGTTTCCTCTTGGACTAAGTGGGCATTGGTTCTGCAGACAAGTCAATAGTAACTCATTCACTATCCAAGTGCAGCACTGAGGGATGGGGCCGGGCTTCCTGGATGTCCAGAGGTGACACCCGCCATGAAGGATTCCTCAGTCAGGAACATCAGCTGAATAAGTTACTGTACATCTGGGATGAAAAATGGAACTTGTTCACTCGCTGAGAACTCATTCCCTTTTCCAAGGTTTCTTTTGTGGTGGGGGTTTTCAACTGCTAGCTCGATTGATTATTTCATCTGTTTGGTTATTTTCTTCCCTTTTGATGTCCTGCAGTGTAGGTTGAGATCCCAACCTTAGAAGGATGTTGACAAAGGTTGGAAGGAGAAAGAGGGAGAAGGGACAGGAGGAAGGGCAGGGCTATTAGTAGTTGCAAGTATCCTAAGAACAGAGATGGTGTGCATACAGAAAAGGGTATGAGTTGATATATTTATGTAAATAAAAGCATTACTTTAACTGTGAGTTAACTGCCAACTATCGGGTGGTTAGCTGTAAATCTCAATAAAGACTATGCTGATTTGCTCGCTGAGGGGAGAGTCTGGAAACTGCCCTGGGAGAGGAGCTCTCTAGGTCAGCCTGCGGTGCCCACGCACTGGCATCACTCAGTGTCACTCTCCACCTCCCCCGCTGTTCGGGATCCTGTCGGTATATCTGACATTCCTGCTGAGTTTCATAAGGCAAATTGGGATGGTCCATCAAATAACAGCCGCAGTGTATTTGCCTGAGAGAGGCGAACATCAACATGGAGATCTCCTATGGGAAGGCATTAGGAAATGAGGGGGAAAAAAAAAAGATTCTAGAATGTTCTCCCCATCCGAACTCCCACCCTCCTCACAGTCACAGCAGCAGCAGATTTCAATGTAACGTAATGACTTTAATAATACATTTCTTATGATTTAGAATTGCTCTTCTGAATTTAAAAAGCTGGATCGGCCAATAGTTTGGCAGTCTTTTCATCCCTAATTTGAATCATTGCTTCTTTGTCTAACCTCTCGAAATTCCTTGACCAATGCTGCCTTGGCTGAAGCACCTGTGTTCATTCAGCCATCATCAGATTCCAATTCCTGGGAAACCTCTTCAGAAGAGCTGTTCCTGTGGATCCTGCCGTCACTCTTCATACTGTGGAAAGTCTTCTTGAAGGCTTCCATCATGGCATGTGCCAGTTTCTTGGCCTCCAGCTTGCTCTCACACTCCACAGCGTGGCAGTCCATCTGATAGGACAGGTCATCGTTGATCTCCCTGTAGACCCAGGCGAAGATGTTGGGGCTCACGTTATGGTCGGCGGTGCAGTAGGCAATGCGGGCCACCTGGAAGGTATCCATGTGGACTGTTGCCTCGCCTTTGTGGTCGAGATGATGGAGCCATACTTGGAAGGGTCGGATCTCCAGCAGCGCATTGGCTGGGAAGACGTCTTCTCGGGCTAGTGTGTGCTTCTTCCAGAGCTCAATGACTGGCTTTTCTGTGCAGCCTGACAGAAACTGCATGCCAGTGGTGGGGACTTTTCCCAGATAGGTGACCTGCAGAGGGAAGAGAAGAAGCAAAAGGAAGATGTCAAGAGTAGGTTCTTCTTTCAAGGTGTTCATTTGGCTGTTCTCGATGGTCATCATATCTCCACAGAAGGAGACAAGACGTTTTTCTTGCTCCCCAAAAGATTGACTATCATCACAATTCTACCTTTGCTCCCCAACAAGTTGTCCACTTGCTAACAGTACTGAAATTCTTTAAATAGAGTCAGATTTCATTTCATTTATTTATTTGCGCCTTTAAGGTAGCTAATGACAATACTCTGCAAGGCATGTTCACATGAGGTGCTTGTATCCATGAAAGTCCTGTTTGGAAACTCAAGGTGTAGTCAAAAAGGGTAACTGAAGAGATTTTTAATAAAAAGAGTCTTTGTAAGAGAGTAGACCGTCTATACACCAAGACCACTACCCACTTATAAGAAAAAGATGAAATCCTGCTATTTGCAACAACATGGAAGGGCCTGGAAGGGATCAGGCCAAGGAGAAAATACCAGGAGAAAGACAAATACTGGGTGACCCTATTCAACAGGTGGAAAATGATCCAGACACTACAGGCACCTGTGCTCTCCAAGGACGCAACTGAGTGTAGAGCAGCCATTCCTGTGGATTGGCGTCAAATAATGAGAGTGCTTTGTGAGCAAATGCATGGGAGGGGGCTCTTGATTTATAATACTGGAAATGTCTCTCTAATCACGGTATTTTATGATATCTTTATTATTTTAATAGCTTTATTGTTTTTACCTCACATACAATTGAAATTCAACTCACATAAAATTTACTATTTTCAGGTACATAATTCAGTGTCATTTAGCAGTCAAAATGTTGTACAACTACCAGCTCTGTCTAGTTGCAAAATATTGTCATCACTCCCCCCAAAAGTGACCTAGTACTCATTAGTACTAGGAGGGTTGCCCCCTCTCCAGCCCCCTGGCAAGCACCCATCTGCTTTCTAGCTCTCTGGGTTGACTTCTGGATTCTGGCTTCCCTGGAATCACATGTTGTGCCACCTTGTGTCTGCTCTATTTCGCTTAGAACACTATTCGAAGATTCACCCAAGGTGTAACATGGATCAGTCCCTCCCTTCTCCCCAGAACATCTTTACTTTGCAAAGTTTAAAAGCAAATGGAGGAAACCTGTTTCACTGTTACTATCCACTGAAACTAGAAATAACTACGCTTATATCTGATACAAAAATTCTTTGGAGGGAAAGAATCTCCTTTCAATTGTGCTTATCCAGGGCTGGCTCTCTCTGTGTCTCCATCTTTCTCACAAAGACAAACACACAATTTTTACAAAGTGTAAGTGACTTCTATCACAATATAATTGAAGGATGAAGTTAAAGAACTTCATTTGATGTTGATATTGATCAAATGTTCCTATTGATCTCACTTGAAAAAAAAGCAACTTCACAGCAATAAATTTTTTTACAAGTAAAAAGGCTGTCTCTCTTGTGAATATTTATTACTCAAAAAATAAAAATTTGAAGGGAAATAAAGTTTCATTTTGGAATTGTGCTTGAGAGACTAAAAGAGGAGAGGTTAATAGCTCGAATCATTTAATACGACAATAATGAAAGCTACTTGATATGGAGACCTATATAAGGACAATTTAAAACCCTGAGAAATAACACAAAACACAGATGTAATCTCTTGGTATTAAAGTTATTATGAAAGTAATATTTATTTAGTGGCCTAGTTTCTCTAGTCATGCAACAGCACTCTACACATTAAGAATAAGGTCCTGAATTGCCACCCACATATCAGTCTAATCAAAACACAAAGACACTGAGTAATCACAGTAATAGTTTGTGTGACACTTGTGGGTGAAAACACTTTGTATCAATTAGATCCATGGGTGACCCTGTGGATCAGGATGGAATATTATTTTTACTCACCCAATTTTAAAGACAGGAACTTAGTTCAGGTGTGGCTCTGGGTAACAGTTTACACTGCAAAGTGTAGAGATTGCTACAACACTGTGATGATTTAAGAGAACAACTGCATAGAAAAGACAGCTCAAAAAGACACCTGGTGAATTCTGGACCATTTGGCTTTTTCCATTTGATTTCACTCCAGTCATTTATTCATGCTCTTCTTCTTTGGACTGTAAGACAAACTGGATTTATAAGAGCATCCTGTATGGAGTGGGCTCTCCCCCAAAAACAAGCTGCCTGCCTTTGTCTAGTGCTTTTATGAATGACACTATTTTTCCATGCCAACCTAGCCTAAGCATCATTTCTTTAAATTTTTATTCGTAGTTTTTAACTGCTGAAAGTAAGATTCAGAATCCTTTTAATATCCTCAGGTAAAGTGAAACAGAAATTATATATATCATATGTGATTTGAGTATGCACGCAAACATAGAAGTATGCACATATATGTTGTCTTCTAAGACCCTAGCATGTATAATCCATTTGAAAATAAAATCAAAGAAAATACAACTTTTAATCTAAAGAACAGCAGACTTCTGGCATCTTTCCAAAAGTTTTCTGTAAGAAGAGACGCATAAACATGTTCTATTCTACCAGCACTAATCCTGCATATTCCATTAGCTTCATCTTGCAAAGTATGGCAAAGGTGAGAGAAAAGTGGATTATGTGAAGACTCCTCTCAGCTGTGATACTGATAGGGGCCAACAGTGACACTGGATGTTGGCTAGGGCACCCACAATTTATTTCTTCTCTCATCTGGGATTTGCACTGGAAGTCAAAGGGGCTGCAATGGACGGAGAAGCCCTTCAGACCAGAACAGAATTAACAAGCATGACCAGAATGCCAGAAACTGGGTCTTTCCCTACTGATGACAGCCCCAGCTCAGCTGCTTGAGTGTACTGGGGTATGCTCAGTTTAACCCTTGGGGAAGTCCTGGCTGAGTCTTCTCTTTGATTCAAATGACTGAGCCTCCTAAGCAATCCTAGTAATTAACTGATCTCTGATTCCTATTGGAGTTAATCAACACAAATATGAATCAGAAAGTCTAACTTATGCCACTGGGTAAATCTGGGCAAGGCGATGAAGTCAATGAAACTCTTGCTACCTTGTGAGCTGACAACAAACACTGCCTTAAGTACCATAAGATTACATGAACACAAAAAAATCATGTTACTAAGTTGACTCTTAAAAAAATTATTGAGGTAGTAGTTTACCTCCTTGTCTGTACGATCACCCCCCTTCAGATATTGTTATCAAAGTGCACCCAAAACCAAAGTGCCCAGAGTCCACTATGCTCGCCCCCACTTTGGACTCATCGCTCCCCAATGGATTCTTCAGTTCTACAGTCAGTTTTCAAGTGTTAGTGTTTAAATTTGACTTAATCTGATCCTTATGTGGCTCATTATAGCATTATTCACAATGGCCAAGCTAGAGAAACAACCTAAGTGCCTAAAAACAGATGAGCATATCAAAATGTGGTATATATACACAATGGAATACTACTCAGCAATCAAAAATGATAGACTCATGTCGTTTGTGGTAACGTATAGATTTGGAAGGGATTAAATTAAGCAAAATAAGTTAACACTTCTTAACAAAGTATAGGAAAAGAGCGATCTCACAGAGTTGACTAGAAATGGAATAAAAAGAATGACTCCAATAGTTTTCTTTAAAATAGAATGCAAGATGATACAATGATGTACCAAGGCAGCCTTTCCTCAGAATGACCCCTTTAAGTCAGCCTTGAGATAACCCATAATGGCCCATGTTCCAGAATCCTGACTTATGTCTGTGCACTTACCCTAATAAGTCAATTATTTACTGTTTGTCTGCCATGAACTCTGTGGAGTGGGGTAGAGAATACTTGATGTCTCAAGAAACAGACACCCTGGAGCATGGGGCATTACCCCTGTATCCTTCTATGTCAGCACTGCTCCAGAGATTTACTCTAAATATATAGAGGGAAATTCCTTCCACCACATTCTTCCTCAGTGGTCACTTCCTCCCCAGGAGTAAGAACACAGGACACAATGTACCAGACTGTGAGAAGCCTGTTATCCTGCCCATTTAGCAAAGAGATGAATGGTTTCTAGATGAATAAGTCCCTTCTGAGCCTCCGCCATAAGAGCTGCAATCTTCCACGGCCTCAAAATAAATGAGAAACACCAAGTCACTAAATTGGTCACTCAATGTCCAAAATGGTAGACAGATTATTTTTAAATCTCTCAGCTCCCAGGGTGATGGGAGGAAGAGACTTGGAAGATGACAAGAAGAGTAACAACTAGTAAATACTAGCATCTCCTCTATGGCTGCAGAACATTGGGCAGGCACCGGGCAAGAAACTTATTGGCAACAAATCATTCCAGGAGAAATAAACAGGCAGAGCAAAAAATGAAAGTCTTTTCCCTTGTGTCATCCAGTGGCATTCACCCACACTCCAGATGCAGACGCTTCCTGTGTGTGTGAATGGGCTTTGCCCAATCCCAACTGAAGAAATGGTTTGAGAAGATCCACAGTGTGTGAACTACACAGAGGCCATGGAGCCGTGGGGCCTGCCATGGTGTCTGCACTGTTAACAGCATCAGATTGGGAGATACAAGTGTCCTCAGAATCTCTCCTTCCCACCCATGAGTTTTCCGATGCTCTGGCCAACTCTCTGTTCATGAATCACCATCCTCTGCTCATCTGTGGCAAAACAAACCCTGGTTGCCTGACATGTGTCATGCTGGCTGAGCCAGCACTATTCTGGAACTTTCTCTTGGTGGCCAGTCCATTTTTCATTCTGGCTTGAACAACTCTTGTTTAGGACCCTGCCAAGCCTCACCCTAGACTGGAAAAAGGGTTGGCAAGGTGTAGGGTAAATGAATTAATCAGGCTTTTCACCCCACTAGCCTTTGTGGCTATCACCTGTAGCCTTAATCGTGCTAATTAATGCAAGAGGCCACTTGGGAGTGTGGATTTGGGGCACATGTGCCTCACTGTGGTCACCTGGAATATGCGTGTGGGCATGTGCAAGTGTGCACACCTGAGCCTAGAGGCCAGGGATACAAGGGTGGAGTCCCTC